CAAAATAAATTTCTATTTTATTTGAGAAGTAATTATGAAAAATTTTTACTCTAAATATGATAAAATTTTAACTGTCACTGAGCTATTTAACTTATCCATACGCATTAGTAATATTTATAAGGTCCCAACGTTTACCGTATGTGGTACTTTTATTCTCAAATTGGCTCGTGTGTTATTCTCGGATTGGGCGCCTTCCTGTAATATGTAAGTGTTAGAATATAAAATTTAACAATAATATTACCAATGTTGACAGTAGTATTAGGATGTTTGTTTTGATATAACAATAGATTAATAATGGTGGATGCAACTGAATAAGTAATTAGTTTTCGATCATATATATATGCATAATTATAAATAAAAGTTTATATATTATTTTGTATGTGTATATAATATTTAAATGTAGTGCGAAATTTTTTTTTATTCGTTTGTTAATCGAATTTATTTAAATAATCAAAATAAGTTATTATTTATAAAAGAATAATAATAATAATAATAATAATTATAATAATAATAATAATAAATATAATTATTATATTATAATATAAAATTTTTGCTGTCAACCATTATTCTATTGCAACAAACTCGCAGTAGCAGAAATTAGCAGAAGTCACATATCCTTTCCATTTTATCCCCCAACTAAACTTAAGCATATGACACAATATAACTAAGCAAATCAATAAAAAAAGTGTATTTACATAACCTTTCTATTTTATCCCCAACTAAACTTAAGCATATGACACAATATAACTAAGCAAATCAATAAAAAAAAAGTGTATTTACATATCCTTTCTATTTTATCCCCAACTAAACTTAAGCATATGACACAATATAACTAAGCAAATCAATAAAAAAAAGTGTATTTATAAAAGCAAATGATGCGGAATCTTATGTCTCTCGTTTTTAATCACCAACATAGGCCATCCCGTAACGTTTATTCTAAATGTTTCTAATAAATTCTTTTCTAACATTATTCTAGAGGTTTGTAACAAACGTTTTTCTAACAAAGGTAGGAATAATCTAAAAATGATAAGAATCTCTCTCTCTATATAAATATAATAATATATATATATATATAAATTTGTATTTATTTAAAATAATATTATTTTCCAAAAAAAATAATTATTGCTATAACGTACAACAAAAAAGTCTGTAATTGGATTTAAAATTGCTTAATAGTTTTTAATTTATCCTAATTATAATTTGTTGGATTCGTGGAACAGTGTTTTCTATAAGTCAAATTGATAATTTAATTTGAGGAAAAAATTCAAAATTAGTCCCACATATTGAGGGGTGTCATTTTTGGTCCCTTAAGATAGCGAAAGTCACAATTAGTCCCACAACTTTAAAAAAGTAATCAAAAGTAGGACTTTTCATGCGATTTCGGGTCTGAAAAGCCTGATATGCCATGTGGCGCATATCTGGCGTTTTTTGTTGACATGTTGGCAGCAGACACGGCTATAAAGGTCAATTGTACTTTTTTGTCTTGACCTTTATAGCCGTGTATAGATACATTTAACGAGTCTTTTCTGTTGTGCATTCGATTAAGGAAACAATCAATTTCTGGTATGAGGCTTTTTGAAGCCGAGTCACATTTCTCTTTAGTTTATAAGGACACAGACGGGCAGTGGAGGAACGCTAGGGATGTTCCATGTATGCGAGTTATCTGTTTCTCATGAAAATTTTGCTAAAACTGATGTACCGACTTAAACAACTCGTCTTACAAGCTTTTTAATGGAAACCTCCCGATCAATAGTTCGATATCTTGATCATCGAAAAATTGAAACCAAAATTTTTCCTATACACATGTTTTGTACCTTATTCGTTGGTTAATTACCAATTAATCAAATCATACCTCATTTTCTCGGTTACATCATGGGCTTCGAAAACTCTAAATCAATTTTAATGTTCAATTTAAGTTCGTCGTCAATTAATCTTTTATGTTATGGTGAAAATTTTAATTGGATGAGGCGAAGTATCAATTTTTCATATTAGTTATTTTCTGACTATGTATTTGGGATTTATCAAATATTCTATGGAGTCATCAGATGATTTTTTTATGAAGTCATTCATCATTTAATGTATTGACACTTGTTCAAAGTGTACTTATTGTAGGACACTTGTCAATAACTATTTGTGAATAAGTGTGGATTGTTCTATAAGTCGTGTTATCCGATGACTCCATAGCAGAGCTGTGGAATTTATCTTCCTTTAACTTGTAGAAAAATGAATGATATTGGAGAATAAAAAGAGCAAGATTATTTAATTGGAAGAGCTAGAGATTTATTAGGAGATTTCTTACATATCTATACTTTTAGTATTAGTATTCTCTTACTATATTTTATAAGGTATTATTTAATTGTATTTTTTTTTTTACTTGAGAAAAAAGAAGAGCAATGAGATGATAAAAGAAGAGACTCATGTGAAATTTTGAGAGCTAAAAAATGTATGGATGAAAGATGGAGAAATCGAACAAGAAGACTATTTTAAAAGTTGGCAAGCAAATGACTGTTTCCATAATATTGAAGAGAGGGGAACGATTGAATCTGAATGATTTGAGCAAGATATTCGCGCATGGTGACTTAAAAGGTATGTTGGCTCAATTTTCAAAGCTGAAGACAGGGGCGGAGCCACCCCAAAGGTAGGGATTTGTTGCAACCCGTTATAGATTTTGTAACTTCCTTTTATATGGAAATTTACCTTTCGCACGTTTGAACTAAAGTTTACTACCCCAAATACAATATCTTTCTTCTTATTCTAATTATAAGAATTTTGATTTCATATTTGTAACCTAATTATTTCTCCATTTTCATAATACCAAATTTATATAATCGCTCATGGTCCAATTGCCAAGTCCCAAGTCCCAATGCCCATGTTGAGCTGGTCGGCTGGCGGGAGCGCGCGTGTGGTCAAAATCAATACTAATACTTGGTGCATAGTTTTGTTATTGTTGTGAGAGTTAGTCTCATTTAAGAGTCTAAAATGAGAAATGACGCTTGACCTATCGAAATCACACAACAATCTTTTTATGTGTCCATTTATGATTAACTTTAATAATTTATTTTTCACTCACCAAAAATCACTTTTGAAAAATTAAATATGTCACGAATATCTACTCAGAACGTAAAACTTTTCTACATAATTTAATTTAACTGGAATTAAATATTTAGTTATAAAAATCAGTCAAACCCTAGTCAAATTCAAATTTTTATAACTAATTTTCTAACATTAAATGAATTTTATAAATTTCGAGGGAAAATACAGACGAGCTTCGTAACAAGTCAACTCTCGTTTAAGGAAAAGGATAAACTATAACAAGAACATATTAACTACGAGAAAGTAACACATTTCTAACGGCTAGTTGCAGTGTGTACTTTTGGCAATGGCCTGATTCCAGGCTTCCAGCTTACCTTCTTCATCACAACTGACCGTTAGCTCCCTTAAAAAGTATCTACCAAAAGAAAAAAGAAAAAAGAAAATACCCATTCACCACTGTCTCTGCATTATCATTATCCGCCAGAAAGATCCCTCCGTTTGTCTCTGAGGCTTTTCCGCAAACACCTTCTGTTCATCGCGCGATACGAATTAATAAACAATTAAATTGTTAAAAAAATGGACAGCACCACGCAGAGAAGAAAGTCCGGCATCAACCTGCCGCCGTCCATGTCCGGCGCCTCCCTCCGCCTCGACACCTTCCCGTCCCCCGCCGCCAGAACCCTCTCATCCCCGCTCAAATCGATGTCCCCGAGGACCATATCCAATCTGTCCGCCTCCTCGTCGCCGTCCAAATCGGCCTCCGTCTGCAGCGACAGGTTCATACCTTGCAGATCCACTTCGAGGCTGCACACGTTTGGGCTGGCGGACAAGGGGTCTCCGGCGAAGGCGGGGACCGCCGGCGGCGGCGGCGAGGCTTATTCCAGGTTGTTGAGGGCTGAGCTCTTTGGAACTGACTTTGGGCATTGTGATTTTTCTGCAGGTGGTGCCGGTTCACCGGGGATGACGAGCCCGAACAAGAACATGCTGAGGTTCAAGACGGAGCAGCATTCTTCTGGGCCCAATTCGCCCTACTCGCCTTCAGTTTTGGGCCACGATGCCGGGCTTTCTGTGGAAGTGTCGATCCCGCCAAAGCCGCCGAGGAAAGTGCCTAAGAAATCTCACAAGGTATGGTTGAAGGAAAGATCTTGGATTTGCGAGGTTTTCGTTTGTTACTATTTGAAGGGGGGAAAAGCAATGACATTTAATGGTTTAGTTGATTGTAAATGGTGAGTTGCTTTGTTTTGTATGGCTTTTTCTTACTGGTTACAATATGATAAATACTAGACCTAGAACAGAGTTTTGCCTGAGATGCATTCTGAAATGCGAGAAATGAAGCTGAGCTGAGTGGCAATACATGACCTGACATGATCTTTTGGCTGAAACTTTTCGAAATGTTTAGTACATAACTTCACTTGAGTCATGCTTATTTTATGTCTGTTCACTCTGCCTTCTCCATGTATTACAAACACAAGAACACTTAGACCATTAACATTAAGTATTTTAACTAGAAGATTTTCGGCTGAAAGTGCATAACTATTTCAGGTTCTGGATGCACCATCTCTTCAAGACGATTTTTATCTCAACTTAGTCGACTGGTCTTCTCAGAATGTTCTTGCCGTGGGATTGGGCACCTGTGTTTATTTATGGAGTGCTTCAAACAGTAAAGTGAGTTTTGCTTTTTCTCCAGTAATGTGATGAAATTATAAACATTTAATTATTCATTCATCAGTCCTTTGATTCAGTATTCATTTTGTTAATAATAGGTGACAAAGTTGTGTGACCTTGGACCTAATGACAGTGTCTGCTCTGTCCAATGGACTCGTGAGGGGTCATACATATCTGTCGGCACAAGTCTTGGACAAGTTCAGGTAAAAGTTGTACATCTGAATGTCCTGATTTTTTTTCAGCATTAAAGCGAACCTTATTTTTGAAAGACATATTTCATTATTTCCATTTTTCACGTTGGGTTTAGGTTTGGGACGGGACTCAGTGCAAGCGTGTTAGAACAATGGGTGGACATCAAACGAGAGTTGGAGTTCTGGCATGGAGTTCTCGCATATTATCCTCTGGAAGCAGAGACCGAAACATACTTCAGCATGACCTTCGTGTTTCGAATGATTGCATTAGCAAGCTTACTGGACACAAATCAGAGGTAGACGAAACTTGTACTTCACACACACACAATTATCTGTCTGTGAATATAGAAATTGCTGTTTAGATGATAAATAATCTTATTTTATAAGGTTTGTGGACTCAAATGGTCTCACGATGATAGAGAACTTGCATCCGGTGGCAATGACAATCAGGTAAGCCAATAGCTGTTATCAAGAATATGAACTTACGGTACCAACAAATATAGATCATAGCTGAGGTTTTTTTTGGCGATTTTTTTTTTTTTTAAGCTATTGGTGTGGAATCAGCATTCACAACAGCCGATACTGAAGCTGACAGAGCATACGGCTGCCGTGAAAGCCATTGCTTGGTCGCCACATCAGAATAGCCTTTTGGCTTCTGGAGGAGGAACTGCTGACCGTTGCATTCGGTTCTGGAATACGTCGAGCGGCAATCAGCTCAATCGTGTGGACACTGGTAGCCAGGTATATTGATATAGGTTACTACTTATATTACAAATGTTAAAGAAGGTTAATTTGAAAAAGAAAAAAAAAAGTACAAACTCCAACTCCTTCAGTGAGATTTATATGTATTTTGTAATAATAAAGCCCCTTATGTATACCGTATTGAAAAAAAAAATAAAAAAAAAATGAAGGAACTAGTGGAGAGAGGGTAATTCGTATTTTAGAAAACCCGGTTCTTTTGTTATGCATACAGTCTCTAGATACTGTCTGTGAATGAATTATGTGAATAGGTTTACACATAACTACATATATCCAGAGTTCAACTTGTAAAAATGTGCAAACTCTATAACTCCTTCAGGGAGGCTTGTACGTGTTCCATAAAATAAAATAACAATAAAATAAATCCCCCAGTATGGGTACAATATGTTAAAAATAGAAGCAACAAGTGGAGAAGAGAAAGTAATTTGTAATCCTGAATCACATAACTGGTTCTTTTATGACTATATAGGCTAAAATTACTTTTCATTGCCAAGAGTGTCTGGAGAATAGTTTAACTTGTGTCAAAAACAAGAATCAAAGAGTTGATGGGACTTAATTTCATCATCGTGCCACTCTATAGGTTTGCAATCTAGCATGGAGTAAAAATGTGAACGAAATAGTCAGCACTCACGGATATTCTCAGAATCAGATAATGGTGTGGAAGTATCCATCCATGGCAAAGGTGAGAATGACCTTATCATCTTCTTTTTCTGCTCTTCTTTTTTCCAGGTTATTTTAGAATTATTGATTGAAGTTTCATCATAATCGCATGGTTTTGGTTTTTCGAGAAGGTCGCAACTCTGACTGGACATAGTTTACGTGTACTGTATCTGGCAATGTCTCCTGATGGTCAGGTACCATACAAGTCGCTTAGCTCAAAGTATAATACATAGTTTGTGTGTTATTTTCTGTAATCTGTTAAAAAACCATTTTGCATTGCATTGCATTTGCAGACAATCGTGACTGGGGCAGGAGACGAGACGCTCAGATTTTGGAATGTTTTTCCATCTGTAAAAACACCTGTAAGTTCCAAAGCCTCCTTCTGCAAGCACATTTGTATTTTAATGTAGATTCGAATTGTGTTCTTTATATAGACACACTTCCTATTTGCAATTTGCAGGCAGCAGTTAAGGATACGTGCCTTTGGTCTTTAGGCAGAACTCATATCCGATGATAACATACATGTGCGGCTACCAACTTATTATCTTATTATCGTCTGTGTAAAGTGTAACTAAGAAACTACACAAACCTCGAGCAAACAAAAAATAACTTTCTTTTTCAGACTCGCATCTGTTATGGTTTCTGTAATTGTAAAGTGAGTTTTTTTCCATTTTCTTTTTCTCATCAACTTACGGTAAAGTTTGTTTGTGTCGGGAAGAGACTACAACAATTTGATCTCCGATGATTTGAACNAAAAGACTTCACAATTCCAACCCCGGACATAAATGTTGAGTTGAGCTTTTATGGTTGTCACATTACTAGGTTTGGTCGTTCATATATACACATGAATTATGTAAAACCATAATAATATATGTAAAACCATAATAATGTAAGGACGTAATCATCAAATAATGCAGTACACCATCTCATATACACCATCTCATATTTTGGCTCATTTTAAATCAATGGGAAAAAAGAAAGGCAATATAACTTTCAACCATCTCTAGTGCAATTTTGCAAATTAAATACTTTCGTTCACAAATACCAAAACCAAAATTGCAATTTAAATACTTTCGTTCACAAATACCAAAACCAGAGATCTAAATCCATTGATTTATGAGAATACAAAAGGATGAAAAAGAGAAATAGTCTTATTGATGATACACAATAAAATTTACATGACAAAAAGGTTTTCATTTTTTAAATGTATGTAATGTAAGTCGTGAATCTAGCTTCTTAAATAGTTCTGAATCTGATTTTTAATATTTCTTTTTTATTTCATTAAGTCCCAACTCTCTAAAATTGAAAACAGCGATCATCTATTATTTTTTTTTTTTTTTTAAAAAAAA